AATTATGTTCGGTCCGTTAGATTCTGTCGACATTTAGCCATGTTGAATGTTCGAGGGAACGATTTGATTCTCACGGAAACAGTCCGACGGAAAAATCGTCGATCTACGTCTCGTGATTACGTGCGTACATTGTTTTTCATGTTTCAAGGCACGTTTGAAATCAAATCGGCGAAAAGAGAAACCAGTTTTGTTTTACCCCTGTGTACACGCGCGTCACGAAGAGTAACGCGCACGGCTTCTCATTACGCGCACGAAAAAGCTGAGAATTCGACGCTAATTACATATTTTGCACGTATAGCTGAGTTACGGTCTTCTTCACACGGGACTAGTATACCTCGTTCATTTTCTTACTAACTACATTTTTATGCACGAAGAAAAGAAATGGGAATATCATACAATATTTTCTTCCCTCTGTTACATATTTTTTGCAGCAATATTTTTTTACCGATAAAAATAAATTTTTTTTCGTTTACATTTCTTCACTTATATTTCTCATCAATCAAATCTTTTCATGTCTGAGACATTTTTACTTACTAATCGTCTCTGGTGATTAATTCTCTGACTGGTAGACTTTTTATCTCAAATTGGTATTCAGTATACCCGTAAAACACAATATTACCGAATTTCATAAAAATCTTACTAACCGGCAGATTGTTAAACGATATGAGAACTATTGCGTGAATACCAGTTTTGATATCTCTTTAGGATTAAGCGAATGCATGTTGTCAAAAATGACAGTGAAAGAGATCACCTTTTCAAGATGATTTTCAAGTCTCTGATGAATATAAACTGTTCTCGTAAATGATCGTTATTCCACTCTTAAGTTGCTGATTTACGATAAAACAATTTACTTGTTATAAAGCAAAATTACTAAAGGCAAGAGTAAGAAAAATAAATACTACCTATTTCAACCTCTTGTTTGCAATTATCATTATAGAACGTTAATAGGACTAAGTAGTATGGAGGGCAGAATAATTCTTTTAGTAGGAATAAAAGAAGAATATTCACGTCTATTCTATCAAATTCTTGAGCAATTATTTTCTCGTTTGGATTTTGTGACAGTCGAATGAAATTATTATTTAACGATTCGCGCATTTCACGAAAATTATATCTTTATCAAGAGTTACATGTATCTTCTATAATACATCGGTGTGATAGCTATTATTATTATAGTTATAACTTTTGCTGCAAGTATCACATTAAAAAGTAATCATTTCGAAAATATAAAAATTATCAAATTTTAAATACCGTCATTTCCCAGAATGGATTAGCTCGTCCCATCCAATTAACAGATATAATGATCTAACCAGCGAACCCAAAAGAGTCTTCGTTCACTTCATTTCTTATAAGATATCTGAACGTCAGCACACGGTTAAGACCACTCTGCAGCGGAGGCATCCATCGAGCTCGATTTCCCGCTATCGGCAGGTTCCGATCGGTCGAATTAAACTAACTCGCGTCTCGTTAGCGGAAACGGTCGTTAGATAAAAGGCGACGGTTCGTTACGCGGGGACTGATTCGTCAGAGCCGCGTTACCTTTCAACGAAGTCCGCGAAAAAAAAGAAGCGAGAAAAACGAGCCGCGTGGGGTTTTATCGAACGAGTCCGGAGGAACGTGAAGACTTCAACTTGTCTGCACGCCATTAAAATGTCATAGTAGACGACCGCGCACACGTAGATGTTACACGAAAGACACGTATTTAGGTATGAAAGTGTGCGTGTGTGGGTTTGCCTCTCTGTCCGACCATCACGTTTGATCGTGACGACGGAACGATTGAATAATTTTCACGGTGGTATTCATAATTGATGCCGGCTACACGCGGTTTAGCCATCGTCGTTCTAACGACATCGAACCATCTACCCTCGGCCGGGCCGCTGCAGTGGTCTAAAGATACCTACACGGATCCAATTAGAATTACCGAAACTCGTATCACGATCGGAGACACCGTTTTACTGTTTACTTGAATTTTGTCAGGTTTCCAGTCTATACGATTCCAGTTCGACACTACATTTCCGCATTCTTAGCGGATTAAGAATGCATGAAAGAAGGAAATGAACAAAGTACAAAAATCCCTTAAAAACCTGTTCAAAAACTATCAAAACAGTTTTTAAATTAGTTGTCCAATATGGCGAGAGATGTTTCTTTTTTGAGCAATTGATAAATCATGTTAACTGCGTGAATAGTTTGTTTTACGGGGTGAGGAAATAATACTGATGCCGAGATAAAAAGAATGACCGCTGCTATAATGATTTTTTAAGTAATTAGTAAATAAGTAGATGATCATTGCCATTTACATTACGATAGCTTTATATCGCTATTCTCTGGTCGTTAAGCGAAAAGGGTTGGCAGGTTTTTAAAAAGATTCTGGATAAAGAATTGATTGCTAGACACTTAAGGTGTCTCCTAGGTAAGTATAGTCATGAGAGAAGGATGGAATTAGAATCAAAGGAATAAAATATGTACGAAAAGATGTACGTTTCTATTTTCGAAGAAATATCGAAATAGAGAGAGCATTGTGTGTCCTAAAAGGAAAGTGCTCGATATTACACATTATTTATACTATTCGTCTCTCACGTTATCTAATTTTTCTAGAACTAAAAGCATCTATAATTATATTTCCTCATATAAAGACACTCACATGAATATTACTACCCATTTCGAAACTGAATAGCATTTTTAATATTGGACTTTAATTTTTTTTAAATTTAGACTGTTAGAAGCCTTAGTTTATTACATATAATGTGTAACAAAAAGTAAAAAAAATTTCTTTTCATTCAAGTGTCGAATAAAAAAATGAAAGACGTGTTTTTTAACCTTTGTATTAGAATCTTTAGAAAAAATTTGAAATATGCCTTTTTAGATCCTTGTAAATAAGTTATAGTTTCATAAAACTCAGTGAAATCATAGAATCATAAAAGAGTTAGACACATTGAAACAAATTCTACAATTTATTTCAGTTGTAGACTGGAAGTCGTGAGAACCTGCGGTGTTTTTAACTATTAATTGTTTGAAGATCATAGCAGCGTTAATTAATTTCGATGAAAATTTACGTAAATGTACAAAAATAAAAAACAAGAGAATATTATGATGTTTGGCCCGATAGTAAAAATGTTATTCAGTTGTGAAATGGGTACGAGTGTTAATGGGAGTAACTGTATATTTGAAATTGCCGATACGTGAAATGTACGGCCCTCCGAAATACTATACGCTCGCATTTGTATGATTAAAAATCAGTTATCAGTTACAATCAGAACACGGGCCGACGAATATTAATTTGCTATATTTGCTTTATGTGATGACGTGGAAATTGTCATTGCACGCATTAACGTCCTTATTACATTCCGTCCGCGAAGAAACCGCAATTCGTAACGAACAAAGTCTTTTGCATCAAGGCACGAGAGTGACTCGCGTAACCAAAGAATAATAACGCTATTATTACAGAAAATGCGGTTGTTGAACAAAAATCAAGGTCTACAATGGGAAAGAAATCGCGTTTACAAGACGCTGAAAATGGCATTCCTTGCTTATATTTACTGGATTTGCGGTTGTGGCTCATAATTTTTGGTATCTGTCATTCTTCATTAGCATTGTTAAAATGTGTTTCGTAAACCATGCTAGGTATAAGCCAGATAAACACAAATTAAATAACAAGCAAAGGAAAAGTTGTATACTTACGTAAGAATAGTAAGAATCTCTATACTTACTGAATAAACATAATTTCAAACATAATCATTTGACGTTCATAAAACGATATGAGTTTTTAACTGGGATATCAACACGTTTATATTTTTAGATCGTTCTTACAGAAATAAATTCTTCTACATATGAAATATTCACTGAACCTAAAGCCACCTTATACATATTGTATAAGTGCCAGCGTCTTCTAAATGAAATGTTTAATAATCGGGAAAAGCAGACTTTAATAAAATATTGAATTCGACGTGGGATATTAATATTTATGCGAGATCGACTTTAATATAATCATAACATTGATTCAAAGTTTTATATCCATCACACCCCTCATGCTTCTATTAACCAAAGTGCTAAATACATATGAAACTTGTTTAAGGTTCGGATTAATTGACGCAAACTGATAACACATGTTACTCGGCCCGAAGGGAAACGTAAGTTCATTCGTATGAGAGTCATTAATTAAACATGAGATGTCTAATTAAGAATGTGATAAAATCAAATATTAAAACTGTACATATTGTACATTCATTTATTGAGTAGGAAATATTTATATCTGTTATACACCTACCTAAATGTATGCTATAAGTATGTAGGCAGGCAATAAATATTTCTGTTCTGTTCGTTATATTCTTTAAATACAAATCATTGAAATATTTAATGATGATTAAACTGCGGATTTAAAGCAACATAAGATATTCACGAACAATTCAATTTATCAGTTAGACACACATATTTAGTTTTATGCATCATACGTAATGTTTATATTTTCTGCACATTCAATGTTTTCATAATTGGTTAAAATCTGCAATCTAATGATAACAATCAGGAACGATTGCATTGGTATAATTCTATAATGTTCTTATCAAATTTAATAATACGTTGTCACTATGTATCGTTATTCTAAAATTTTATACAGTGTTTTATTAGTGTAATATCTAATGACTTTTAGAATTTGAATGTATTATTTTTAGAGCTCATGCAACTTTAAAATACAAAGTATAGTAACTACGATTTTTGCTTCACTTTATATCATTTATTTTATTAAATATCGGGATAATCTCATTGTATAATTACCAGAGCGCTTTAGAATGTACCTCAAACTAAGCATTAGAATGAATTTTGTCTTGATTCTTGTAGAATCGAATGACATAAACTCATATTTTTAATTAGTTTAATGGATAACATTGATGTTCTGTCTTATGCCATTGCCGGAGTCTACCCCCTTAACATAATATTTCCACTAACGCCCAAAATCATATCGGAAACTCTGAATTTTCAACGCTTCAGGGTCTTCACGATCCCCTTACCTGCTAGTCTGTCCTTTAAGTGCGGGTGTCCCTGAAGCGGATGCGCAGCCAGATTCGCCAGTAGACTCGCCCTATGAAGACCAGCCGCCGCCGCTTGTTGTTGACTGTGCTGAAGTGCTTGTAAACTCCACGGCGGTATCAACGCCTGTGCCGGCAGTGTACCCGTCGCTGTACCATTGGCACCGGGTGGCCGATGCGCGGGTACTCTTATTACGCCTCCGCCGGTGTAGATCAAACCGGATCCGGTCGGGAAAAGTCTGAACGGTGCCAACAGATCGGCCGCGCTCGTGCAATGAACCGACGCCGCGGAACTCGTCTGCGTTTCCGGCGAGCTACCGGTGTCATCGTCGTCTTTCTCAGACAATTTCTCCTCGATTTCATGTCCCCAAGATCTCCTGCCGTCGTCCAAAGTCATCGACGAGCCTCCGTTATTGTTGCCCTCCTCCCAGGACCATTTCCGTTCCTTGTCGCTATCCAAATCCTCTGACGAGGGACTCTTTGGATTCTGCTGCCGGCTCTCGCCCAACAAACGACTTATGCTGAACGGGTGACTCCTGGGCGATTCGTTCTGCAGCGTTCTCGAACTCGTCTGACTAGGGGGCGGGGAATCGGAGCACTCGGAATGTTCCAGGCGACGACCGTCGTTCACATAATTACGCGGACTGCAACTTCCGGAATCAGAATCGTCCACGTTGATCTCCTCCGTCGCGTCCACGTCGCTGTCGCCGTGAACCGACATGACGCTGCCTTCGATTGATCTATTCGACGGGTAGATCGCGATCCGTTTTAGACGATCAAAGAGAGACCAGTCGTTCACCGGAAGTTTCTTTCAACCATCATCCTGCACTTCACTTTCCTACGTTCGTCGTTGAATTCCTATTCGCATGCGAACCCTCGATTACGAATACGGATACTCATTAATTAAATTACACTCGACTGTTTGAATTAGCAATCTGGATGCATCTTTAGCCAACATTCGGCTCACTGTATACACCGGTTTGAAGCCTGACGGCCATGTAGTTCTCAAATTTCCGGTCAGAATATTTTGTTAACGAGAAACTCGCGATGAAAACTAAATTGCGCTTAGTTTTCCGACGAGCTTGCTCACGCACCGATAACTGTCCTCGGCCACCGACCAGTTGATCCAAACACAGTCACAACGGTAATCGGTACACTTTTATTACTCCTAGTATTCACATCCCTTCTAAGCAATGAACTCGTTTCCAATTTCCGTATATTCGTTCTACAGAAATGCACAGTTCAAATCACAGTATCAGTCTAATCGAAAATTGCGTGTAACTGGCGGACTTTGTAAATCTTCTCTCGACAATAATCAGATGCGTTCAAGTGCGGAAGAGATTATACATATTCAGGTATATCCTCGGACTGTTTTTCTTTACGAACAAAACGAAGACGGAGGGCGCGGAGATATGCACGGACGGAGACAGAGAGGACGAGCGGCTCACGTGGCAGCTCGAAAGGGTTGTGTTATCCTTGTACGGAACTCTTGCGTTTAGTTGGAACGTGAATCCAGCAATCCAGGTCGGTCGCGGGAAGAGAGACGGGACGTTGTGAGGGAACCAGACGAGAAACCAGATGGTTCATCCCTACTACGTTTCTGCGTCTACTCGAGCCCACGACCCAGCGTCGCGACGCGCGGCATCGCCTACCACGTACCCGACGACCAATCGGGTTTCTTCAGGTACCGCCTACCGACTCGACCATTGGACAGAGTTAAATTGATACCTATTTAACATTTGAGCAGAATGTTGCAGGCGATCGCCTTTTTCTCCTGTATTATTTATTGCCCGATCGTTGTGCCTCCTTTTTTCTCTCCACCTCCTCATTTCTTTCATCTTCCTTCTCCTTCGGCCAGCCTGGGCCGCTCCTCTTCTCTACCCGTGCGGTACCAACGTGTCTCCTCGTCTCACTGCAGAGACGTGCCGCATCCAGTTGAAGATGCGGAGGGACTTAATTACGACGAATATCCGTTTGGTCCCCACCATACCCTCTCCTCTGGCCGCCTCCGCGCTCGGTTCTTTCCTTCCTTTCGCCTTCCCTTCTTCCCTCTTCCTGTGTTCTCCGCTCTCTTCCCAAACAGTCCTTTCTCGCGTTCGCTCCTCGCGTTTCAGTCGTTCTTCTCTTCTTCCTACCGTCCTTCGCTTTTATCGCGCTGTTACGATGGAGTTTGTTGCACGGGTACACATATGGGCGCATAGCTGAATACACCCCGAAGTGAAATGACCAACCGCGCTAATTTTCCGTTTCACGTTACGAAAGCTGATGTCCGTGCGAAACTTATCTGCAAAGTTTCTGCACACACCGCAAGCTTCCCAATTCCGGACATAATTAAATCGTTTGCTTTCTGCTCTTGATGTTTCATATTCTGAATGCAATCGCCAGAATATAAAAAAAAAAAAAACAGAAAAACGAAACTAGGAGAATAGACCATCAAGCTATGCATGCAGCTTGAGCTGCAACGGGAAAAAACACGCGCGCGTAGACGCAACGACCAGGAATGCTAGCTTCCTATAACTGTTAATATCGCAATCTCTATAAAAGATACTCTCTTTCGTAGAAGCTTGATCGAGAGTTCTTCAAGAAGTACAGATTAAGTATTCGCTGTAACTATAAAATGAATCAATAAAAAAAAAATCGAGTTACCTAGAGGCGTGTTCTCTATAAGTCTATGCTTCAGAACAACATAAAAAATATGTATTATACATAGACATAGAAAGAGACAGCATACCTGCATACATTCGCTCTTTGTCGGTGCATATTCTACCTCCTCCGTTCGTACTTCACTTGTTTTATACATGCATGCACACATACATACATACATACATACATACATACATACATACATACATGAAATAGATGAAGCATCTAAATGGAAGATTGAAGACCGAGCGATCGAGTTTCTTTTTTTCTATGCATGTGAAAGAGAGAATCAGAGAAACTTCTCTAATCTTTTGCGGACATTGCTGACTTAACAGAAATACATTCTACGCTCATTATAAGTCTATTCTGTTATGTTGACGGAACAAAAAATCGACGTAAAGAATGTTTTTCACATTTATCTTTCAATAAGTTGCGGTTGGACGTCTTCTCGTTTAGTCTCACTCGTCTGTCCATTTGGACACCTAATTATTTGATGTAAGGGTTTCATAGAGATAATTCAGAGGTTTCGCATGGAACGCGTTCACCGTTGCGCGAAACAACATTTCGATCGGCAATTCATTTGAGAGTAATCCACGTCCAGCGCAGCGTGCCGTTGCGCAATAAACATTGCGGTACCGACGGTAATGGCAACAAAATAATTTGCCGCACAGGCAGTGGCGAAACTCGTCGACTTTAAAGGCGAGAAGCCTTTTACATTACCTTTCCTAACGGCCGGCCGTGGCCGCGTATCTTTACGCAGTTCCAACGCGTGTTTATAATATCCCAGTCAAATTATTCCGTATTGCTTTACAGCATAATTGGCTCCATTATGGCAAAACATCGCCTCTATGAGATTGATTCGCTGATTACCGATTACTTGATAAATCACGTAAAATAAAATTCTACGTACTTTTCGAGAGGGAATATAAGCACGAATCAAGGGAGTCCGATAGTGACGCTATAAGAGAGAATTTCAATGTCATCTATTAAATTATTTTTCGGATACGGTACGTGATAAAGCATTTCTACTTCCGAATTAGTTTTTGACATGAGAAACTATAAGAATCACGTAGTGGATATTGAAAAAAAAAATGTTGCGTATACAGTTGGTATAGAGAAACAGGTAGTCCACTTTACATTAACCAGTGCATTCCGAGATTAATGAAGTTTTCGCTCGTCGCGAATTATGCAGGGAAAGCCGGTTTTGCTCGCTACCGATCGCCTTGTAAAATCGAACGTTCGCCCCCTACCAGAAACGCTATAGGTATACATAGTAGACCGCACTGGTTCCCGTTCACAGTGCGAACCGTTCCGATCGAGAATCAATTCGGATGTCAGACGTCCGCTTGTCACTTAGGCGTTTTCACCGATGCGCGAATAATTCATTTCACCCTTTTGGAAACGCTTACAAACCCCGCGATACCGTCGCGTCAGAGGGCGGCGAAAAGGTTGCCAGCCAACAACCGGGGGATGAAAGCCAGCGCGACGAAGGGGGGAAAATCAAGGGGTTTGACCGGATCTGTCCTGTTACAGGTTGAAGATGCGACGACGTGGAAACCAACTGTACACGCCTGCCCTATCCGAAAAGGGTTATTTTTTATTCAGAACACTCGCAGTTTTAACCCCGGATACGCGGAAGTGATTCGCGGAATATGTAATCACCGCGTTTTCGTGCCGTGGAACAGAGGACAATAAAACTTGGAGATATGCGATGTGAAAAAGTCCGTTTCTTCGATTTTACTCTTCTCTTTCTGTTTAAAAATTCGACTTCGAAATGCATACGTACGTTATTGAATTTACTAGATATTGATAAAAGATAGTAATTGTGCAAGAAAATCTCTAAAACGTTTCCCGTGGGTAATTGTTTGATCACATAGTATGTTATTGCTCTGCTATTGTAGTCTGATTCAGCATCGCGTTACGCGAGGAGAATATTTATTTCGTAACAGAATACTAGCGATACCTAAATAATTGATTATATCGAAGGAGGGTGCAGATTAACGTGCGTACTCGGTGCATCAATGGGAAGTTGTCCGAGTGAAGGGTCGAAAGCCACTCACGACTCCATCACTTTAACAGAAGTGGGATATATTTAGATAAAATCGATTATCGACTTAAATAATAAGAAACTACTGTATGTCCAAAGTTAGAGGAAATAAATTTGAGTTAATCTAAACCTTGGGTGTACAATTATTTCTAAACAATCAAATGCAATTTCAGTAATGCAAACTCAATGTTGCAAACTAAAATTCTAATTGACTTGAAAAGAGACTTGAAGCCAGACGATTGAAGTGACTTTTTTTCTATCGGCATGTGAGAGAGAGACATAAACTTATCCAAAGCATGTTTCCTCTATCTTTTCTATCGGCTCAACAAAAATATCTTGGGTGCTCGGTTTATTCTCTTATGTCTACGATAGGCACTCTTAACGCTCAAGATAAATAATGTAGGGATCGATCATTGACGAAAGGAAATGACTATGCTTCAAGAAAGATCCCTGATTTATAAACTATTTCCTGTTAATTATATTCGAGAAACTATTTCACATATCTACGTACGAACGCAGGAGATGAATGTCAGTTGTTTAAAAATTGTACAAAACCTTGCATTTGATTGTTTGTTAAAATCTAATATTTCTTATATCTTCGTTCATCCTCGGATAATACATTTACTTAAACCAAACAATCTACAATAATAACACTTCATTCGATTGAACAATAAAAGTACACGAATTATTTCTCGAACAAAGACAGTTACACCCAGCACTCGATGCTAATCAAAAGCAATGAAACCTCTCCCAAGAAAAACCCGGGCCGGGCAGAAGCATAATCAGGGAACGAGCAACCCCCTTTCTGCTCGGTCACACCCGGAACGTGATACGAAACAGAGACATCAATTTCGTTACAGACATCGTGCCCATGTGAGAACTCTGACTGCACGACACCTACGTGCTACGCGAAAATGTTATGATTCCCGCGTGTCGAGGTCCCAAGAGAGCCGAGGGGGATGCTGCAGGGACCTCTGTGCCTCTCGGAAGGTTCATCGAGCGAACAACCGCTTGACAAGGGGCGTGCGGCCGGCCGATTCAAACGATTAGCTTGTTTTGAAATTGTGCATTGTCGAAGGGCTACGATCAATCTACTGGGGACGCAAGTGTTACTTCGGCATAAATCCGGGTGCCACGGGTCTCGGTTACAGGTTACAGTCAAGAAAAAAGGAACTACATTAACTGTGAGCAATCGTTGAGCAATCAATTCTATCTGATGTATGTTATAATGCGATGTTAGATAATGTGACACACGTTAGAATAGTGTATGAGCAATTACTGTGTAGGAGTACAATTACTGTGGAAATATTTACGGGTAAAAGTTGCTACGGTTTATTCAGTAATTCACAAATCTGGATATTGGCAAACAGGGCCTGAAGTAGATCTTACTGGAAGCTATGATCTTTGTCATGGACATATGAAAATGGAGTGGAGGACTTGAATCCAGGTGATTTAAAAGAAACAAAAAGGAATGAAAGATTTTCTTATTTCTAAATAGACAAGAAACACATCCACAAGCATGTTTCCTCTGATAGAATCGCACAGAAATAGTTTAAAAGGTTCAAAAAATAATGGTCATAAATTATTGTCTCTGGCCAAATATTTAATTATGTAAAATATTTCATTTTCATTAAATGTGTACAAGTACCGTAAAATGTGATTGTGTAACTACAGGATGTTCACGATCCCAGATTTTCCATTTTTACGGCCACTTTCGATTTACGAGTAATTATTTTTCGAAACGCACTTTACGAGTTATTTAGCTAGCAGGCAATAATAGCTACCAATAATAGCGATGGAAATCCTTCGAGAAGTCGTTCTCTTAGGCAATAAGCAATTTGGTAAAGTACAAAGTAATTTGGTTTGAACAATTTTCGCAATCCACGATCTTTTAATGTTGATATCTAGTACGCTTTGTCGAATGCCGGAGGAAAGCCAAAGTAAGAAATACAATAGGTCACGGCATCGTATTACCATTGTGAGAAATTTTATGACACAGGTGTATGTACAGTTAAAATGTAGTAAAATGTGTAATCATGCAATGTTAAAAATAATCTTAGCGTACATCCATGCATTAATCACACATTAAATATAATGTGACGGTAATCAAGAGAAATGTTCAAGTATAAATAAATGAAACTCGATGATATTTTATTCTATTTTTTAAACTATATGCCATTTGTTTCTACGAAAATCCGCTTAATACATATAATAAAAAAAAATTAAGTTACGTTACTTAATTATTATATTCAATATTTATTAATTGTTATATTATATTAATATTAATTGTTATATTCAATCTGTAC